TAAGCATACCTTAAATGGAAAGAACGAAAGAAAAATGCAAGCTTCAAGTTCCAGTATTGGAAAATTCTATGGGTAAAATATTGAATGATGCAGGAAGCATCCTAAGAAGATAGAAAGAATACACAGAGTCATGGAGCCAAAAAGAATGAGTCAACATGCCACCATTTCTGGAGACAGCATATGATCAAGAACCAATGGTACTGAAGGAAGTTCATACTACATTGAATGCAACAGCCAAAAACAAGGCTCCAGGGAATTGATTGAATACCAATTGAAGTGGTTCACCAAGCTGATGAAGCACTAGAAGCACTTTCTTGCCTGTGCCAGGAAGTTTGGAAGATAGCTACTTGGCCAACTAATTGGAAGCTCCATGTTTGTATCTAGGCCCAAGAAACATGTCCCAAGAGAACGCACAAGTTATCGAACACTGTCATTGGTATCACATCTCAGTAAAATTTTGCTGAAGATTATTAAACAATGTTTGTGGAAGTACCCTGGCAGGGAGCTTGCCAGAAATTCAAACTGGATTCAGAACAGGATGTGGATCAAGGGCTATCATCGCTGATATCAGATGGGTCTTGGTTACAAGCAGAGAATACCAGAAAGCTGTTTACTTGTGCTTTCTAAACAGGGGAAAAAACCCAAAGTGGAAGAGTTCACACACTCCTGAGCTTTAGCCAGTTGATAGATAACCCAGAGTCAGTGTGGGGCTTTTGAAAAAACAGATTAGTGTTAAACATAACCCTGATCTTCACATCCTTGTGGCTGCACTCCTGTATGCACCCGAGCAGAACTTGATATGCATGTACAGGTGACTGAAAAAGCAGTTAATTGCTCCAGACCCAGGAGTCAGTCTGGCCTCCCCTCCCTCAACATTTAAAAAATTTTGTTTTCTATTTGTGTGGGGTTTTTTTGTTTGTTGGCTTGTTTTTTTGTTATAATAGGTTTATCTTTGTTTGTTCTTTAAAAAATAATTTCTCTCTAGGGCAACCAATGTATAAATGTGCTTTACACAATTGATGTATGTATGGATTGTGATAAGAGTTGTATGAGCCCCCAATAAAATGATTTAAAATATAAAAATTTTTTTTTAAAAAAAGAAAATATACCAAGTCAAAAAAAAAAATCCAAATTGTAGTTGGAACCAACTCCATGCCATCCAATAACAACCACCACTTATTTGCCCCAGTCCAGGGGAAGGACTCCATGCTTGGGAAAGCAGAGGGTCCGCAAACCAGAGGAAGATTCTGAAGGCGATGGATTGACATAATGGCTGCAAGAATGGTCTCAACCATAGCAACAATTGGGAAGATGTCGCAGGACCAGGCAATATTTCAATTTCTTGTACTCATTGTGAGTCGTAACGACTGGATGACATCTGATAACAGTAACTGGATAAGGCAACAAGGACAGACGTCTATGAAAAGTCAGAACTCATTTTCTGAAAACAGCAAAAATCTGGGATTAATTCAAACCTTTTACTTTTGATACAAGATTTTGAAAATTTTCTCTTTTATAGAACCCACTAAGACAC